ATATCCTGCACCTGTTTTTGTTGAATTTCTGATTTGTTCAACCGTGTTTTGCTCTTCTGGTTGTTATTTTCTTCGCGGTTGAGTTAGTGTTATTATAGTTCGTTTCTAAACTACGAGAAAACCGGGGTCGTGTTAGACAAATCTTTCCGTGTCTGAACTTCAACGTTTTGCGGTCTCGTTTTTTGTTTGTTATTGCTGGTATCAGTGGTAGCTGGCAGCAGTCGTTGTTCACGTGCATACGCTGAACTTTTTGACGTTTAGACTACGAGGCTATGACACTGCGACAGTACGATCAACTGACGAAACAGATCAAGCCGGACGTTGTCAAATACGAAAAGCTGAAATCTATTATGTAAGTGTTATGTTTTTAGTACTAATCATTTTTGACGTTGGTCATTGCTGGTGAGCACAAATTACTTGCCTTTCTTTCGCGGTCGGTACATACAGCAGTGAATACTGTATTCTCGTAACCTGTAATAAACGGAAAGTGTTTAGACCTTAACAAGTAGTGTTATCAAGTTCGGCGATATTCTTCAGAGTAAAATTATAAGTTTTAAGGTTACCTTTTGCGATGGTAGCAATTATCTAGTTAAATTATTAAATGGTATGAATGAACGAATAAAAACTTCTTTGCCTGCTGGCTCTGTGGCAGAATCTTTCAGTTTATTTTATGCTGTTACGTCCCTGATATGGTTTATTTCCAACCTTATTGTTGAGATGATCGTCTATCAGCTGATCTGCAGAGTCCAGAATGTAGTCATGTCGTTAAAGCTACAATATGGTGACTTTCTGAGTTAAGTTTTGAACTGTGGTTCACCAGCCATAAGAAGTGATTAAGGTTGCTTCGATATGCGTTTATTTATCCCACAGGCTGAATTTGAGAAGGACAGTTGGAGTGACGAAGGATGGGTAACGTGGAATGAGTAGAGCAGTGTTATTTTTTGGCTATGAATTTATTTATTTATTGGATTCGATGGAATTAGAGGTTATGGATGGAGCAAGTAGTGCTGCTTCTCTGAGCAGTTCATTAAATGAAAACTTGACATCAGTTCAAGTAAAAACGAAGATCATCCTCCACTTCAGGGGGCGCGGTGTTCCAGTTTTAGGCACTACAAAATTTGCTTAGTATCTGTAAGTCTTTGATTTAAAAAGACTTCATACTTGCCGGTGCTGGTAGCTGAAAACGGATGACAGTCAGTTATCATACGCACGTAACTGTCTTGCCTTGATTTTTTCATCCCACTGCTAATGAAACTTACAATGATTTTTATAACCACCAAATATGGGATCAGGGTAGCGGAAGAAGGTGTCCGTTTCCTCGAGGTACTAGAGATCTGTCACCTTCTGAGGCTGGAGATTCAGGGCCGCTCATATGTCAGTGATGGTAAGTCACTGTATTTACAGCAGGTTATATATATAATTTTTCCCGACTGATCTGATTTATGCAACGTGGCCCAAATTCAATTTACTGCTCCGGGAACGTGTTCTTTGGCATTTCGTACAGCGACTGGCGATTAGTTTCCTTGAAATCGGTCGTGAATGGAGGAGCAACCAATTCCAGCAGATTAAGGGAGGGACTGAACGAAGATAATTTTCCATGTCGTGCATGCCTGAATGATCAGAGATGAAAAATACAAATCACATGGTAAGAAACTAGTCCTACCTGAAGCAATGCGCTGATTTCAAGTAGTTGTGAACAGCCCATATCAGTAGCGTGTACCAGCCTTCGTAACTGGAGGTAAACCACCGCCTGTTGCATTCTGTTAGATGTGCACGCTTCGGGTGATTTTTTTCCATGGTTATATCTGGTGTTGATTAGCAGTTAAAGTTATAGCCGTTTGTTTGACAAAACTTAATATATAGTATCTCATTTTTAATAAGCTTTAAGTCTGTTTTGCAATGCGATTTTCAGAATTATCACTTATTGGTGCAAATATTTGTTTTTATAAAATTTTATTTCAAGGCAGGAAGATTTCTATCCAACATCAAATACGTTGATTCAAGGAGCTCATTATCCATCTGGAGATGCGATCGATCGGCTCGTCGACAGCGTGCACAAACAGTAAGTCAGCTACGATGTTTGTTGAGATTTTCGCCTTCAGCGGTTTGCATACGCAAAACGTCTCTGGCATGTGATGCCGTTATATCCGTAGCTTTTCAACACTGTTGCTCTAAAACACGGATTATTGAGTCGCAGAAGGAATCATTCCTGTCCAAAAGCTGATCCGCTTCTACCTTTTTCAACCAAGTTGCAAGTTTGGCCTCCTGGTCGAAGTCTATCCTGGTTTTGGCTCTCCTACACGAGAAGCTTATAAGCTCTAATAAATGATGTATATTCAACGAGTTTATCTAACGGGATCATCCTCTATCTAGTTCAAAAATATCGAATGCTAATGATGCTCTTCCCAACCTTGCTTAAGAATTCCCGTCATTGTTGTTGATCTGTCTGCACTAGTGGCTGGAGGGGGACTACTTTTTTAAGGCAAAAAATGTGCGCTTTGCAACAAGTTGTCTCAGGGTTTGCTATTCAGCAGCACAGGATCAGAGAATTTTAGTACCGCAAGGTGGTAATTCTTACCAGACGCCAAGGTTTACAGTACTCATAGCACTCGCAAACTTACTAACGGTAAATTCTATGACCACTAAATATGGTATATTAATTCATCAGGCAGCCTACTGTCTGGATTCATGACGATTTTCTTGAGTTCGATAGAAATTATACGTAATCAACAATGTCACTCTGAGATTGCGGATTTTCGACGTCCAGAGACATAGATAATGACAATTGCTCTGATTCAATTCTAGTTGTCGTACTGTCGATTATCCAAACTTGTTTAATGCCACTTTGTTTACTAATCAAGTAAATATTCTACGCATGTAGAACGATTTGAGCTTCAGCTAATTAGGTCAGTTTACCTACTTAGGCGTTTGTCTCAGTATTTTGTTTCTTGTTATAGAATCTCCAAACGCGAGAAGTACCATCGAAGACGAACGTACGACCCTGATGCGACGATCGATTTCATCAACGAAAGAAATCGCCGTTTCAACAAAAAACTGGACCGCTTTTATGGACAATACACGGAAGAAATCAAACAGAATCTTGAAAGAGGAACGGCGGTGTAGAATGAGCTATGAAAGTACAGTGAAGGTCTCATGAGCGAAGAACGCTATGAATCTGCTTGATCGATTTCGCAACCAAAAAATCAAGCAAGTTACCGATTCTCATTTAACCTTGGATGGTTTTTATTCTGGAACACCTGCGAAGCGACAATCTGCAGATGTATTATTTAATGTGAATCAGACTTTCTTCTTTAGTGTATTGTGCGTTTAACTGTGTTGAAACTTCCCCAAAGTTACTGTAATCATGGCGGTCTGCAGTCTTGTACAGCTTGAAAACAACATCAGTAAAAGAGTAAAATTTTACAACCAAATGTGTACAATTTGTGACAATAGCCAATGAGTTATACATCTGGCTTAAACTGCAGGCAAGCTCTAATCCATCCTAAAACCTGCGGCGAAATACATGTCAGGTCGACCGTGTGTATATATTCAAAGTCTATGAGCCACTGATCATCCATTTGAATCGTTTGCCGTTTCGGGTAAGGGGTTCGGCGAAACGCCATGTTTTCCCTCCTCCTCCTCCTCGTTGTCCGTTTCAACGTGTTCGACGTCGTCCTCGCTGCCGTTGTCTTCACCATCGTCAACTGATTTCTCATTCAGAATTACGTATTCTCGCGTACTGAAACCGAATTTGATCACGTCCTTCTCGAGTAGTTCGTAGTAACGCTGGGTGTCGATCTTTTTGTTGTTAATGAATGTTCCGTTGGCTGATCCAAGGTCCATCAAGTACGGCTTGATGCGGCGCACCGTCCTGCCGTCAACTGTTGTTTCAGGGACAACGCGGTACTGTAATGCAGCGTGCTGCTTGGAACAGCTAGGGTGATCGACGGGAATATCGGCCACTCGTCGGTCACGTCCTAAAACATTCATCACACTAATTAACCCGTTCAAATCATGCCGCTGAATAATCAAACGACATTATGAAGGAGAGCATATTCGGACATCTGGCTATAACATGGAACTAATCAAAACAGCAGCGTAAACCGAAAAAAACTAGTTACATATGCATTGTAGGAGTGCTGAATTCGAGGTCGAACGACGAAGCGGACCCACTGCTTATAAGATAATTATTAAAGTTTCGTCACTGAAATTTATTGTTTTTGATATTTGTAAACAAAAGCATTCGTTAAGAAAACTGTCAGAGAGTGCCATTAATATACACCTAATCCTCGGTTTGTGAACTTCTGATATTCGAACTTTCGCTACAACGAAAAACCCGCAATTTTCGTTCGCTGCCATGTAACTATATACTTATGTTTAGATTTACAAACATTACTTTCTTTACAGCTAAGAACCAAACTACTCCAGCGTCCGCGGAGGAACAGAGAAGAACGCAGCACTGGTAGATGTGTGGCAAACTCATTAATCCCAACCTGTTTGCATAAGCAACACATCTGATTTATGCAGTCCACTACATTCTCAGTTTTTTTTTTAATACAACGGCTGAATAACAGCAATTACTTAATCTTCCTTCCCCTTCAAGATATTTTACGTACAGTAATCAAAGATTTAAAGACAACTGTCTATCCTTTGTTTACAAGAGTTTGTTTCTACTGCAACTACGGTATCTGGTGTACAGTGTAAACATATGATTTAACCCTTCAGAGCATTCCACCCCTATAGCGCTTTATACGGTTAAACGGGTAATGACTCAGAAAAAATATTTTATGAATGCGCAGTATTCTAACAGGTGCAAAAAATACCAGATGATTTTTCTAGGAGTCTATAACCAGTCAAAACAAATTTCTCGTGGTTTCAATATATTAAGAAAAACTAAAGTTTTTCATGCTGGAATGTCAGTATTCCTTCATTTTCATGATTGGGCTATTATGGCGCTCTTCTTTCATGAAGTTGATGCTGCAGTGCTGATATCCGTTTATGTACCATTAAACAGTCCCTTACTTTTTCAAGGCAGAATCTACAAATCTACAGCCATGCGGCAAGCTAGCATGTAGTCCTTTCCACAGAGTGGGATTCATTTATCAACGTCGGAAAAAGAAGGGCGAGTGACCCTGACTGAGGCCCTAATGTGAGACCTACTGGTTCTGAGTTCGACACCACCAACTTAGCAACTTCTGCCTGAAGCAATATGTAATACCTTGCTCAAGAAAATTCGTGAATAAGAGAATGGTTGTCCTCGAGCAGCATCGAACTCGGTACCTGCGAAATTCGAAACACCTTTTAGACACTGTGCCAACTCGCCATGTTCAATATTTTAAATAGGAAGCCACTTCATGCAGATCTAAAAACTCCGTATCTCTACGCTTAGTTCACTAAAATCTTTATGCATTTTAACGCATTCATAAAGCTTACCTATGAGGTAGGCGCTTTGGCGGTGAATGTAGAGAACCGGCAAATTCTGGTCCCCTTTAAATGGGTACAAGCTCCATCGCAATTTTGGTTTTCTCGCTTCTGGTGGTTCGGTGTACTTAATGACCACGCCATGAAACGTGTTCGTATCGGCGGCCAGGTTTCCGGTCAAACCAAAGTTCGGCTTATCCTTCGGTTTTTCTTCCTCCCCGTGATCTCCTTTTGGATGGTCTTCTGCCTTACCCCATTTAACCTCCTTCTTCTCCCTCGTTCGTTTTCCGTTCCTGAAAAGGGGTGGAGTTCTTCGCGAAATTCCTCCCCCTCTTGTTTCGCGGTCGGTTTCAGTATCGACTTTTGGCTCTTCCTTCACCGTCACCTAAAAGGCGGGTATTAGCAAATAAAATGCACTAATAACATTTGCTAAAAAATACTTAATGCAGTAGCTGAATGTTACAAGTACATTGACTGTCAGATATCAAGGTTCTAGATAGCGATATTTTAGGACCATTATAAGAAATGGCGAATAAATCTGAGAGAGAACATCTCTAACGCCAAGAGAAAAGCACAGTGTTTGCCACACGCTATACCATTATACACAAGCTCATGGCTCTTCAATAACTGGGTTTCATTAGCATTATTCAAGACAAACTACAAAAGTAATGCATCTATGCATACAGTTAATGTATAAAAGCATTCCATATATTCTATGAAAGCCTAAATTATGCATGCGTAAACGTAATCTCTGCTTCTTTAAGAAAAATGACTTTGGATTAAACAGAAGAATCCAGATTCTTCTTGAGGTATGACGTTTCATTTTCCAGCACAGAAGTCACCATCTGGGATATTTAACAAATGTTTTGATCAAATCAAGAGTTTAAACAATATCAGCAAGCATTAAAAATGTCATTTCAACGACATGCATAAAATATTTCTGAAACTCATAACTGGGTAGAAAGTAATTAAGAAAAGACTATGGACGCTATTAAGAACGTATATAATCAATCCACAGAAATATTTCTAACTACAACAAGCTGTAGCACGTCTTACGTAGAACAGCCGAGGAACTGTACATGATCCGGCTGCAGTTCTACTTGCGATGCTTGTGATAAATACTAAATAAAAAAGTTGTTACTGGATATTCTCTAAATCATAATGCCAAGGAATGGAATTTCAAATTTCGAAAAGTCGTCTAAGGGACCAAATGGCATATCGAATATATTACGTAACATATTTTACAACGCTTCAGTTCAGGCTCGCTCCGTCTTCAGGGAAAGACACAATATAAGACAAGACATTAACGTGAGGGATATTATAGGTCTCTATAACAAGTCTCGTCCTCAAGCCAGATCGAACATGATCCTAAACGTTGTAGAATTTGTATACAACAAATCTGATACGCAGATTTATTCCGTAAAGGATTTATTAAATTTTTAACTGAATGTCCGCATAAAATACTCTACTTCTGCTTTTAATGAATGATGGTATTTCATTCAGCGCTTTTCAAGAGTGAATATTACGCGTCTATCCTCATCACAATCATTAGAGATGCAAAGAAAATCTTCGATCTACGGATGTGATTCAAAAGGGCAAAATCTCACTTACAGCCTGTAACAGAAAAACGTATTTGATATCAGTTAGACAGATACTGAAAGCGAAAGATTCCGTGGAATTCGCAAAGATCATGGGGTGAACATACTGTCCACTGTCTTATGTACAGGAACGTAAAGGATAATTTCTACAACGAATGTGCAGTAGGTGCAAAAGCAGAGTTCAACATAAGGCAAACTTGCAGATATCATACTGTGACACTAGTTGACAGGCAAAAACTGAATCGAAATTTATGCCTGTCATGAGATTCTATTTAGGAGAAACCGAACAAAAGTGTTAGGAACTAACAAGGACGAAAACAACAGAATCTGCTAGTCATTACAAGTTCCTAAACAGAGGATCACTGCTACTAAACAAGATGAACGACACTAACGGACGAAACCAGGAAATTTAGGGAATGAAAAATATTCACCTCAACTAAACTGCTAAAACTGGGAACGCATGGCACAAATTAGGACATGCCTTACTGCACCCTAGACAGATGGTCACACTGCTGTTATCATAATAATTTTTATGTCCAAAAAATTCGATTACTGTCGCATAAATAACTAATAACCAATTACTCCTTCAAGACAAAATTTCACGACGAATTCACCCTCCCTTTGTGCCCAGTTGCCAATTAAACAGGTAATGGCACTACGATATTCGAATACCTGCAGTGCTATATGTACTTCGCATCATTTATTCCGCTAAAACCACCTTGCACTCATCCCGAACGATGTTTTGGTAGCTGCTACTCATATTTTAACACATAAATTACACACCATTTACCACAGCTTTGTAAAACTTACATGACCAATTGTACCGACTACCTACTTCAAAGGACTGTCCTGTACTGTGATTTACCTCAGCTATATTGCCGCTGTCAAAATTTTGTTTACTTGAAGTGAGTATGATGAACAAAACAACAGCGGAAGCTCGAAGGAAACTGAAACCCCAACATCAAGTTACTGCTTGTAAACAAAAAATAAAAC